AATGGGATTAATATACAGGTAATGAGGTCAGTATATAGGTAATGGGATTAACATACAGGTAATGAGGTCTATATATAGGTAATGGGATTAACATACAGGTAATGAGGTCTATATATAGGTAATGGGATTAACATACAGGTAATGAGGTCAGTATAGGTAATGGGATTAATATACAGGTAATGAGGTCAGTATATAGGTAATGGGATTAACATATAGGTAATGAGGTCAGTATATAGGTAATGAGGTCAGTATATAGGTAATGGGATTACTATACAGGTATTGAGGTCAGTATACAGGTAATGAGGTCTATATATAGGTAATGGGATTAATATACAGGTAATGAGGTCTATATATAGGTAATGGGATTAATATACAGGTAATGAGGTCAGTATATAGGTAATGGGATTAACATACAGGTAATGAGGTCAGTATAGGTAATGGGATTAATATACAGGTAATGAGGTCAGTATATAGGTAATGGGATTAATATACAGGTAATGAGGTCTATATATAGGTAATGGGATTAACATACAGGTAATGAGGTCAGTATATAGGTAATGGGATTAATATACAGGTAATGAGGTCAGTATATAGGTAATGGGATTAATATACAGGTATTGAGATCAGTATATAGATAATGGAATTAATATACAGGTAATGATGTCAGTATATAGGTATCGAGATCAATATATAGATAATGGGATTAATATACCGTTAATGTGGTCAGTATATAGGTAATGGGATTATTATACAGGTATTGAGATCAGTATATAGGTAATGTGATTAATATATAGTTTATTATGTCAGTATATAGGTATTGAGGTCAGTATGTAGGTAATGGTATTAATATACAGGTATTGAGGTCAGTATGTAGGTAATGGGATTAATATACAGGTAATGGGATTAATATACAGGTAATGAGGTCAGTATATAGGAAATGGGATTAATATACAGGTAATAAGGTCAGTATATAGGTAATGGGATTAATATACAGGTAATTAAATCAGTATATAGTTAATGGGATTAATATACAGGTAGTGAGGTCAGTATATTGGTAATGGGATTAATATATAGGTAGTGAGGTCAGTATGTAGGTAATGGGATTAATATACAGGTAATGTGATTAATATACAGTTAATGATGTCAGTATATAGGTATTGAGATCAATATATAGATAATGGGCTTAATATACAGTTACAGTTAATGAGGTCAGTATATAGGTAATGGGATTAATATACAGGTAATTAAGTCAGTATATAGTTAATGGGATTAATATACAGGTATTGAGGTCAGTATATAGTTAATGGGATTAATATACAGGTATTGAGGTCAGTATATTGGTAATGGGATTAATATACAGGTAGTGAGGTCAGTATATTGGTAATGGGATTAATATACAGGTATTGAGGTCAGTATGTAGGTAATGGGATTAATATACAGGTAATGTGATTAATATACAGTTAATGATGTCAGTATATAGGTATTGAGATCAATATATAGATAATGGGATTAATATACAGTTAATGAGGTCAGTATATAGGTAATGGGATTAATATACAGGTAATTAAGTCAGTATATAGTTAATGGGATTAATATACAGGTATTGAGGTCAGTATATAGGTAATGGGATTAATATACAGGTAGTGAGGTCAGTATGTAGGTAATGGGATTAATATACAGGTAATGTGATTAATATACAGTTAATGATGTCAGTATATAGGTATTGAGATCAATATATAGATAATGGGATTAATATACAGTTAATGAGGTCAGTATATAGGTAATGGGATTAATATACAGATAATTAAGTCAGTATATAGTTAATGGGATTAATATACAGGTATTGAGGTCAGTATATAGTTAATGGGATTAATATACAGGTAGTGAGGTCAGTATATTGGTAATGGGATTAATATACAGGTAGTGAGGTCAGTATATTGGTAATGGGATTAATATACAGGTATTCAGGTCAGTATGTAGGTAATGGGATTAATATACAGGTAATGTGATTAATATACAGTTAATGATGTCAGTATATAGGTATTGAGATCAATATATAGATAATGGGATTAATATACAGTTAATTAGGTCAGTATATAGGTAATGGGATTAATATACAGGTAATTAAGTCAGTATATAGTTAATGGGATTAATATACAGGTATTGAGGTCAGTATATAGGTAATGGGGTTAATATACAGGTATTGAGCTCAGTATATAGGTAATGGGATTAATATACAGGTATTGAGGTCAGTATATAGGTAATGGGATTAATATACAGGTAATGAGGTCAGTATATAGGTAATGGGATTAATATACAGGTAATGAGGTCAGTATATAGGTAATGGGATTACTATACAGGTATTGAGGTCAGTATATAGGTAATGGGGTTAATATGCAGGTAATGGGGTTAATATGCAGGTAATGGTGTCAGTATATAGGTAATGGGATTAATATACAGGTAATGAGGTCAGTATATAGGTAATGGGATTAATATGCAGGTAAAGAGGTCAGTATATAGGTAATGGGATTAATATACAGATAATGGGTGTAGGTAATGGGATTAATATACAGGTAATGAGGTCAGTATATAGGTAATGTGATTAATATACAGCTATTGAGGTCAGTATATAGGTAATGGGATTAATATACAGGTATTGAGGTCAGTATATAGGTAATGTGATTAATATATATTTAATGGGGTCTGTATATAGGTAATGGGATTAATATACAGGTAATGAGGTCAGTATATAGGTAATGTGATTAATATACAGTTAATGAGGTCAGTATATAGGTAATGGGATTAATATACAGTTAATGAGGTCAGTATATAGGTAATGTGATTAATATACAGGTATTGAGATCAGTATATAGGTAATGGGATTAATATACAGGTAATGAGGTCAGTGTATAGGTAATGGGATTAATATACAGTTAATGGGTGTAGCAGACTATTTCCCTCGCCGTTCAGTTGTCCTTATCCCCCTGTCTTGTCTGTTTCCCAAATGGATGGTATATGGTCCCTCTTTTATACCTCTTTTTATACCCCTGGCTATTAACCACAAACAAACAATTAACTAGAGTGCTTTCCCTGGGTGGCTGACATTCGTATAACCAAATGCACATGCTCCAGTGAACACAGGCAGCGGTACCTGGTTGTTGAACGCCTGGAACTCTTTTTGGCGAAGCAATCCAGTGAGCCCTGGGCAAAGATTGTTCCGCTGCCTGTCTCACTTCCTGACTGGCTAGGCGCATGAAGTTCAGGAGATAGGAACTACCGACTGGGGAGAGCATTCGCTCCCTAAAAGCCAGGAGAAGCATTCAGAACCCGAATGGCGATTATATTCTACCAAATGGATCTGAGCACTATTTGGAGAACTTGGGCACTCAGATCTGGGCTATTAGGGGATGTAAGATTTGTGGAGTTCCTGTGGATTAGAACTATGTTTTTGGGGTGTTTTATGTATTTTTTATGTTGTTTGAGATAATTGAGTTACTAGGTTTTGACTTAATTATATCCCAGACACAGGGGCGCCTGGGAGGGATTTGTGTTATTTTGAATGGAGACCCCATTCTGGGGGTCTGTGCATAAAAGGCTGAGTTTGTGCTAAATAAAATCAGTTGTACTTCCAGAACTGTGTGTCGTCCAGTTACTGGGGAGGAGGAGAGCTATTCACATTTCAGCGCCTTGTTCCTGAGTTCCAGTTAATATTGATGCAGAGGAGGAAAGTCCTGGTCAGGTCTAGTGCTCCACTACATATATTGTGAAAGATATAGCAAACACAGTGGCTCAGTTAGTAATAAAAAAAAGAGTCCACAATCTAAATAGTCTGCTTCTTAGCTAAGTACCAGTCTGCGTGCTCAACAGTTAATTCTGTCACCCAATCTCCTCGCTCCATTTTAATGTTTAGAATTGTCCTTTGCTTTGATTACTCCCAGTCTCCTCATCGTTATTCACCTTGTAATTATATTGTCCCATGATTACCTCTGAAGGATTATTGCCCTGTATTTATGTCCCCTTTTCATTATATATTCCTCTGATTCATTTTGTCACCTTCATTGGTAATATAGATTCTCCACCCCCCCCACCTCCTTCCTCCCGGTTCTGGCTGCAGGAAGAGCCAATACAACCTCTTTTCATGTAATTTAACATTAACTTTAGACATAACAGTTTTCATTCTAATGATATAATAAGGTTTTAATATAATTTACTCCTAACCAACCATCAAAGTCTCCATTCAAAGAGAGGAAATGAGATAACAGGCATTGATCTTTTTTTCCTTTGATACATTTCCTAATTTGCCTTTCCTGACAAGGCTCAGGCCCTGCTCCCTCCGTGCTGCTAATAAATGGAGGAAGAGTCCAAAGTTGGGGCTTCATGGGGATACGACCATCACCGGCAGATATCAGAAATCTGAGAACTTATTAACCAAATCTGGGAAGCGCTAATTTACCACCCATTCCTTATTAAATTTTAATACTTGTGTTTTATTTATTAATGCCCAGTCAGTTTTAATGTAAAACCAATTTGCTGGTTGTGTCCCTTTAAGCGAGAAGATTTTTTAATCAAATTAAAATGTAGACATTTCCATTTACTGTGATTCATTCACTATTTTCTTCACTTTTCTACCCAATGACTTGTGCAGTTAGTGGATAGGAACTTCTATATTTTTATCCACCAGCTCTCCTGTCTGAAGTCAGATGGGTCACAAAACTTGTAGAACTTCCACACAGTAATATTTGTAATCCAATTTCTACGAGAGAGCCATGCACATGCAGCCATGAATGGTTTTATTGGTGAAAAACATGAATAAAGGTTTCAGAAAGCTAAAACAAGCTGAATCACATGTGCATGAAAGAAAATACAAACAGTTGAATTGCATATTCCATTAACCTTTGTTGTGTATGAGAAATGCCCAGCACTCTTACTGAAAGTAGAAGAAAGGCTGCCTGAGGGTATTTGGCCAATTCCTGTCCCAGGCCCTTACAGAAAAAAGATTTGTTAGTATTTGTTTAGAATGCATTATCTCTATAAATAATAAAATAAAGCATGGATGGGGTTTTACTCCAGAAGTCCCTCTTTAACTTTAATCTTAAAGCTGCAAGAGAGTAAATCAGATCATTTCTGTGAAATCACTAATTAGAACCACTGGCAGACAATTAGAGCTTGGACCCCCTGCAAGGTTCAGAAGACCAATGAGAATGGACATTGTGTAAATGTGTGCCATCACGCTCGGTGTCAGTCCACGATGAACACTGTGTTCTTGTCTTCAATTTTACTCCAAAAATTTGAATCTCATGATCCTCATCTTTACGCAATGGATTTAAGCTGGTTTCTCTGTAAATATTTGGGAGCCAGAAGCGTGACTTCCTAACTGGTCCAGAAGACTATATCTTACATCCGTTCCAATTTATCGACCAAAGAATATGCATTATTGCAGCTAAACTCCTAAACATTACAATCTTTGCCCGTCCGGCTTCCTCCAAGCTGTGTCACATCTATTGCAGAATGAGGTTTGAGGATGTTCTTACAGAAGTGGGTGTTTTTGGAAAATTCCAGATAATATCTCTTTTAATTCTCTGCCTTCCCCGAGTTATCCTCCCCCTGCACTTTCTTCTTCACATCTTTATCTCAGCTGTGCCTCCCCATCACTGTGCCATTACCCCAGGAGGACAAATAGGAAACCTGAGCCACGAGGATCTTCATATTTACATCCCTACAGAGGATGATGGAAGCACCAGCTCCTGTGAAATGTATTCACACCCGCAGTTCAGCAACACATCCAAGGAAACAGCGAACAGTTTTACAGTGAAGAAATGTCAGCATGGGTGGGAGTACCTCCGTTCAACATTCACCTCTACCACCGTCACTGAGGTAGGAACTCATTGATCTACTGGCACAGTGGAATATTGTCCAACATCTGATAAGATCCTACTGAAATGGTGGCACTACCTGAGATGTATACAAGATAAAAGCACAGATTCATGGGCACTAAGATCCTAATAAAAGACACTAACAGGGGTAAGCACTAAAATGAGAAATTACAGGAACTCAAAGTGAAGGTAAACATTTATCAAAAATAGTCAAAGTAGAAAAATTCTCTAAGTAAATTTTTTTGACTTTTGGCTATTTTGGCCCTAAATTTAAAGTTCACCTTGTATTCACTTTGTCTTTTAATCAAATCTCACTTTAGTGAATAACCATGCAAAGCTATAAACGACTTTATTCTACACTAATAGCACATCAAGTCCCCAATAACAGATACATTGACCTGTGGTTTGTGTTAGCAATGTATTAGTCGTGTGTCCTGGTCCTTGTGACGTATTACCAGACTATAGGCATGAATCCTGTCCAGGGTGATGTATTGGCAGACTCTAGCTGTGTGTCCTGGACCCGGTGATGTATTGGCAGACTCTGTCCATGTTTCCTGACCCCAGTGATGTATTGGAGGACTCTAGCCGTATGTCCTGGACCTGGTGATGTATTGGCAGACCCTAGCCATGTTTCCTGGACCCAGTGATGTATTGGCAGACTCTATCCGTGTGTCCTGGACCCGGTGATGTATTGGCAGACTCTATCCGTGTGTCCTGGTCCCAGTGATGTATTGGCAGACTCTATCCGTGTGTCCTGGTCCCAGTGATGTATTGGCAGACTTTATCCGTGTGTCCTGGTCCCAGTGATATATTGGCAGGCTCTAGCCGTGTGTCCTGGACCCAGTGAGGTATTGGCAGACTCTATCCATGTGTCCTGGACCCGGTGATGTATTGGCAGACTCTATCCGTGTGTCCTGGTCCCAGTGATGTATTGGCAGACTCTATCCGTGTGTCCTGGTCCCAGTGATGTATTGGCAGACTCTATCCGTGTGTCCTGGACCCGGTGATGTTTTGGCAGACTCTGTCCATGTGTCCTGGACCCAGTGATGTATTGGCAGGCTCTATCCGTGTGTCCTGGTCCCAGTGATGTATTGGCAGACTCTATCTGTGTGTCCTGGACCTGGTGATGTATTGGCAGACTCTATCCGTGTGTCCTGGACCCGGTGATGTATTGGCAGACTCTATCCGTGTGTCCTGGTCCCAGTGATGTATTGGCAGACCTTATCCATGTGTCCTGGTCCCAGTGATGTATTGGCAGACTCTATCCGTGTGTCCTGGACCCGGTGATGTATTGGCAGACTCTATCCGTGTGTCCTGGTCCCAGTGATGTATTGGCAGACTCTATCCGTGTGTCCTGGTCCCAGTGATGTATTGGCAGACTCTATCCGTGTGTCCTGGACCCGGTGATGTTTTGGCAGACTCTGTCCATGTGTCCTGGACCCAGTGATGTATTGGCAGGCTCTATCCGTGTGTCCTGGTCCCAGTGATGTATTGGCAGACTCTATCCGTGTGTCCCGGTCCCAGTGATGTATTGGCAGACTCTATCTGTGTGTCCTGGAACTGGTGATGTATTGGCAGGCTCTAGCCATGTGTCCTGGACCCGGTGATGTATTGGCAGACTCTATCCGTGTGTCCTGGTCCCAGTGATGTATTGGCAGACCTTATCCATGTGTCCTGGTCCCAGTGATGTATTGGCAGACTCTATCCGTGTGTCCTGGTCCCAGTGATGTATTGGCAGACTCTATCCGTGTGTCCTGGTCCCGGTGATGTATTGGCAGACCCTAGCCATGTGTCCTGGACCCGGTGATGTATTGGCAGACACAGGGGCGGACTGAGAACCCTCAGGGCCCTCGGGCAAAATAAATCAAGGGCCCCCTTACAGGCCCCACCCATACTCTGCAGCAAGCGCCACCCTTGTCCCGCCTCCATGCACCGCCTCCAGCCACACCCTACACAATCTTTGGACACAAGGAACAAAAGGGCAATAAGCCCTTCGAGGCCCCAGTAGAGACTACAATTGAGGGCTAATGGGCCATGGAGGGGGGTCTTTCTAGCGGAGGCTATCTCAGTGTCCTTTAGAGAGTGTGTTAGAAATAATCCCCTCCAAGCCCCATTAGAGACTACAATGGAGTCTAAAAGGCTTGGAAGGGGGTCTTTCTAACAGAGGCCATCTCAGCGTCCATTAGATATCCCCTGCTGGAAACAGTCGCCTCCAGGCCCAAGTAGAAACTACAATTGAGGGCTAATGGGCCATGGAGGGGATTTCTAGCAGAGGCTAGAGTCTAATGGGGCCTGGAGGGTGGTCTCTCCAACACTCTGGTTCCTATTCACAATATAGCAACACAACATAGCTCGCTGATACCTAAGCCAAGTTGGCTCCTCTTACCTTGATTACTGTTGCTGGCTGGCAGTCTGTGGGCTTGCTGGCTGCGGCTGGCAGGCTGTGGGCTTGCTGGCTACTGCCGGCAGGCTGTGGGCTTGCTGACTGCGCCTGGCAGGCTGCGGCTGGCAGGCTGTGGGCTTGCTGACTGCGCCTGGCAGGCTGCGGCTTGCTGGCTGTAAGCCTGTGGCTTGTTGTAGGCCTGTGGGCTGGCCTGTGGGCTGGCTAACTGGCTGGCTACTGGCCAGCCTGTGGGTTGGCTGGCTGGCTACTGGGGCACTTGTAGATTATTTAAAGAAATAATCCATACACAATAACCACTACTGCTCCAGAGTAAGTAGTCAAACCGTTTAAGAACAGTTTGACAACTTACCTGGGGTCTGCTGGGATATGAGGCTGTAGTAGGGAATAGGAGCAGTGGTGCAATGTGTGTGAAAGGTTCAGTGTGTGTGTGGGGGTGTAGTGTGTGAATGTGTGGGGTGTGTGGGCAGTGTATGTGTGTGGCAATGTTAGTATGGGGGGCTGTGTATGGGGTCTGTGTGTATATGGGTGGGCAGTGTATGTGTGTGTGTGTGTGAGGCAATGTGTGTAAATGTGTATGGTGTGTATGGGGGCAGTGTGTGAATGTGTATGGTGTGTGTGTGGGGGCAGTGTGTTTATGGGGCTGGGTTCACTCTCACCACTGCGACCACCAGGAATCCATGGGGGTTACAGTGTTGAGAGTGAACTCTAGCCCGTAGCTCCAGGGCTAGAGTTGACTCTCGCAAGAGCAGTAACGTTGCCATGGTAACCGCGGCAACGCTCTGTGCTCGCGCAAGAAGGACCCAGAGGAGCTGCAGGGTGGGCTCCCAGGTCCTCTCTTCCTCCCCTGCCCGCACGGTGCCTGCGGACAGGGGAGGGGGGGCATTCTTCCCTCTCTTTCTCCCCCCTCCCCCAACTCTCTATTCCCCCTCTTTCTCCCGGTGTCTCATTCTTCCCTCTCTGTCTCTTTCTCCCCCTCCCCATCTCTCTATTCCCCCTCTTTCTCCCCGTGTCTCATTCTTCCCTCTCTGTCTCCCCATCTCTCTATTCCCCGTGTCTCATTCTTCCCTCTCTGTCTCTTTCTCCCCTTCCCCATCTCTCTATTCCCCCTCTTTCTCCCTGTGTCTCATTCTTCCCTCTCTGTCTCTGTCTCCCCCTGTGTCTCATTCTTCCCTCTCTTTCTCCCCATCTCTTTATTGCCCCC